CCTCTAAACCATCATCATCTTCAACTTTAATGCTGTAAGGATATGGATGAAGTTTGGTTGAAAAGCCGAGTTTAGAAACCATCTCTTCAGAAACAATATTTATGTGACTCCCACGATCAATGATCAATGAACAAACTTTTCCATGGGAGGTACATCTAGTGTGGAAAAGAGATTCACGTTGTCTCGTTTATTCATCTTTTTGAACCCAACGACCTTTTCTTGCTTGCATATTAGGTTCACCATCTGCTGCTCTGATACCAAATTGATGTGATTCTTCGAGTTAACAAAGAACCAACCGACCAGTATTAAGATCTTGAAACGAAAACGTGGTTTGTGGGTGGATTTCAAGAAACAACGTATCTCAAGTTTTGGAACTCGGAATCTGATGATTCAAAAACGAGGTGAAAGATGACGATTTGAAATATAAGAAAGACTATTTACTTGTTCAAAATAAGTAAATATTGATGCTGCACCAGTTCAATGAAAGTTATGATTCTATGATATCATAAGAATGAATTTAGATCAATAAACGTGTTCTTGAATGATCAAGAACTCAAACAATTCCTAAAGTAACCACTTGGAATCAATTAACGTGATAAAAAAATACCGCACGTAATTGAAAATAAGATAAAGACTATCACAACCTTGCTTGGAACCAAAAACAAGGATAAAGAAGACAAAATAGAGAAAAACACTCTATTGCAAATTAGGGTAAAGTTCAAAAACGTGAATTTCATTCTACAAGGCAAGAGAACCCTTTATATAGGCCTATAGTCTCTTCTTTGATGACTACAATTCCTATTCTAATAAGGAAATAAAATAACTAAAGACAAGGAAAGTAAAATCCATATTCTACAAGGAAAAGAAACTAGAATCCTACAAAAAAGAAAATCCTTATTCTAAAGGGAATAAACTAAATCCTATTTTAAGAAGGAAAGGGTCTTGGCTTCTTGAAATCAATCTTGGGCTTCTTGGACTTCTTGTGCTTCTTGAAAATATGTCTATATATTTGAACTTGAGCTCTAAAATATGATCTTGGCCAAAATTAATAAAATTTAACATAGATTCTTCTTTTACATCATTCTTCCCTGGTTGAAAAAGACTCGTCCTCGAGTCTAAAGGCTCCACAAATGACACAAGCTTGGCAACTTCTATACTTTAGTTGAACTCATATTTACCATGCTCTAAGTTGCATTTTTCTAATTTGTCAAAAAGCTTTATCGTGTTGTAACAAAGCTTAGCATGTGGCCGAACTAAATCCCACTTTCTCAATAGTAACTTTGTACCAATATTGCTGTAATGAATCCTCTTAAATTGATTTTAAACACTTGTCCACAATCATAAGTTATATTCTTTTGATCTTCAGAAATCTTGAACTTCTCCATGTCAATGTAGTGCTTATGGGATATGCCAAGAAAATTCGATTTAGCACCACAAAAGCCCATAGAAGAATCAAATTCAATGGGCTTGAAGATCGAAGTATATCTTCTTGAGAATTGATCAGCAACAACGCTCTCATATTTAACTAGATCATAACCATTGATGGAATTTGTGTTCAGATTCCCTATTCCTACATATGCTTGAAAATATTTATTCTTTGGAGGCACTAAAAAAGTTGGAACAAAATCTGAATTCAAATCCTCCATTATAGACTCCTTTTTAAGAAATCCTTCCTCTTGTGTTTGCAAAATTTCATGAACTTTTGGATTAATGCAATATGTTGCCTCGTTTGGAAGGATAGAATCAATTATCAAATCAATATTATGTTGAGCATCTCTATTAGGTGAAAAGTTAAGCTCACATATGGGATGCTCCAACTGATCATCATCAAACTTTTGAGGTAAATCATCAACTTGTGGATCTAGTGCATGCTCCTCCTCCTTGTACTCTTCCATAGTAATACCAACATTCAAAGACTTTTCTCCATTGATTGGACTAATTATTTGTAATTTGTTCAGAAACGAATCATCATTGAGCTTTAGATTTTTAGCAATTTCTTCTGAATTCAATGGTACTTAAATAATCTTACGTCCATTCTTTGTAAAAGAATAGGTGTTAAGGTCTTAATCATATTTAGCACACCTATCATACACCCATGGTCTTCTAAGTAATAAGTGACAAGCATCCATATTCACTACGTCACACCAAATCTTGTCTTTATAGATCTTACCAATAGAAAAAGATACTAGGCATTGATGAGTTACCTCTAAACCATCATCATCTTCAACTTCAATGCTGTAAGGATATGGATGAAGTTTGGTTGAAATGCTGAGTTTAGAAACCATCTCTTCAGAAACGATATTTATGTGACTCCCACGATCAATGATCAACGAACAAACTTTTCCATGGGAGGTACATCTAGTGTGGAAAAGAGTTTCACGTTGTCTCGTTTATTCATCTTCTTGAACCCAACGACCTTTTATTGCTTGCATATTAGGTTCACCATCTGCTGCTCTGATACCAAATTGATGTGATTCTTCGAGTTAACAAAGAACCAACCGACCAGGATTAAGATCTTGAAACGAAAATGTGGTTTGTGGGTGGATTTCAAGAAACAACGTATCTCAAGTTTTGGAACTCGGAATCTGATGATTCAAAAACGAGGTGAAAGATGACGATTTAAAATATAAGAAAGACTATTTACTCGTTCAAAATAAGTAAATATTGATGCTGCACCAGTTCAATGAAAGTTATGATTCTATGATATCATAAGAACGAATTTAGATCAAGAAACGTGTTCTTGAATGATCAAGAACTCAAACAATTCCTAAAGTAACCACTTGGAATCAATTAACGTGATAAAAAAAATACCGCACGCAATTGAAAATAAGATAAAGACTATCACAACCTTGCTTGGAACCAAAAACAAGGATAAAGAAGACAAAATAGAGAAAAACACTCTATTGCAAATTAGGGTAAAGTTCAAAAACGTGAATTTCATTCTACAAGGCAAGAGAACCCTTTATATAGGCCTATAGTCTCTTATTTGATGACTACAATTCCTATTCTAATAAGGAAATAAAATAACTAAAGACAAGGAAAGTAAAATCCATATTCTACAAGGAAAAGAAACTAGAATCCTACTAAAAGGAAAATCCTTATTCTAAAAGGAATAAACTAAATCCTATTTTAAGAAGGAAAGGGTCTTGGCTTCTTGAAATCAATCTTGGGCTTCTTGGGCTTCTTGTGCTTCTTGAAAATATGTCCATATATTTGAACTTGAGCTCTAAAATATGATCTTGGCCAAAATTAATAAAATTTAACATAGATTCTTCTTTTATATCAGACGCCCTCCCCCTGATGAGGCAAAACCATCGCCAAGGGAACCAGGTTATTTTCTTCACTGGGACCAGAAGATACATTAACCATAGTTCTAAAGAAAGAGAGGGTATTCAAGTAACGAAAAGTTAAACACAAAGAGGATCGCTAGAGTAGTAAAAAAAGATACGCATCAATGGAATAGGAACAAGAAGGCACAAGATTTCGATATGGAAAATCTGTAAAACACGAGTATGTGCCCTCACATCCCTATTTATAAGAATTCGGGCATCAAAATCAAGAAATCATGCCATCATTACCTAGCACAGGTATCGAAGCGGCAGATCCAATCAACAGACGCACGCGAAATGACACAAATCATCAGGAAAATGCATCATAATGATGCATGATGTCATGACGTCACTTTGATCCAGAAACGACGCAACCCCAAAAGTTGCGGCTCACAAAAGGCCACGTCGCCATCTCGTCCAATCTTCTCGACCACGACAAACGAAATTCGCTCATTAAGGTCGTCTAAGGTCAACCTCAATAAATGGAGGGACTAACTATATAGGTCAAACTCTGCCCTAGAATATTTAGGGCAAGATAGCACTAAGGAAAAGGTTAGTCGAGGTCGACCAGGAAGCTGCGAGATTCGTGGTCGAGATGTCAACAATGGTCGAGGTCGAGCACCATTAATAGAGCTATAACAACTATTTTTCAAAATAGGATATTATAGAGAATCTAGTGAATATTCTCTGCACTTGTACTATTAGGATTTGTTAGGAATATGTCTCATATGTATAGGAAAAGAGACAATGATGTAAGACATGTGATTTTCATTTGTAAGAACACACTTTGATAAAAAGATTTTCTCTCTCTTACCAAGGGACAAACAACACCTTTTTTTTATCAAGATTCATGTCCACATTATTGCATACTTCCCACCAGATCGGAAGATAATTCGAACATCATTGTCAGAAGGAATAATATCTATCTTCTCCTTTATTGGGTGAATCGTTTCTTTATTTACTCAAATACCATTTATTATTGTTCATTGCTATTTATTGCTCATTTATTATTCACGCTATTTAGGATGATTGTCACGCACTATTATTATTCTTCTACCAGATCTGTTCAACATTAATCATGCTTTCATAACCCGCATCTAGAAATATTATTGTTAATTAGGTTTAACCCCTTAATACATAGATTTAATTATTTGAACCAAGAATCACTCTTTTGGGTCAAACAACGCTTAATTTTACCCCTATGTTGAAGATCAAAATCACGAGAAATAAGGTTTTTGAGTTGTATATGATTCTTGAAGAACTATCTAAGAATGTGAAGAATATTAAATAATCAATTTTTGATTAAATTGCTGATTGTTAATTTGAATTATTGGATGACACTTTAATTATGTAGATAGTCTGAGGTGAATCTAGAACGAGTTTTACATATGTGTGCGTGTACTTGCGCAAAAAAAGTTATAAACGGTATAATATTTAAATTATAGATTTGCGCATGTAGACGATGGTATGTCTCAGTACAAATCTGTTGTATTTTCCTTATATGTAATATAAGAGTACTGTTTTATACCATTCTGTAAAATCCTTGACAAGTCTTAGAAGACTTTAAATCATCTCGTTAAGGATAAAAGAATAATTTTAAAGTTAAATTATTTGCAAATATAAAAATGTGACATCTTTTTGGGACAGACTAAAAATGAAAGAGTGTCACGGATGGAGTATGTAAGTATAAGAGTACTGTTATATACCATTCTGCAGAATCCTTTGGAACAGTTTATGTTGCTTTTACTACTGTTGTTTTTTGGTTATTGATGTACTTATTATTGTTGTTTGAATTGCTAGATTGATCCTGCAAAGTACAAGAGCATTTCCTCTGGTTTTGGAGTTCTGCTCAAGGAGCAGGGTGTTAGAGGCTTCTTTAGGGGTTGGGTTCCTACCCTGCTCGGTTACAGTGTTCAGGGAGCTTGCAAATATGGATTCTATGAATATTTCAAGAAGTATTACTCAGATCTTGCCGGCCCTGAGAATGCTGTCAAGTACAAGACTTTGATATACCTTGCTGGTTCTGCATCTGCTGAGGTTATTGCTGATGTTGCTCTCTGCCCTTTCGAGGCTGTCAAAGTTCGCGTCCAAACTCAGCCTGGTTTTGCCCGAGGCTTGTCTGATGGGCTTCCTAAATTTGTTAAGGCTGAAGGAGCTGCAGGGTAATGCCTATTATGTCACATGAATTCATCCTTCTTTTACTACATGTATTGCATTTTGCTAATGGAAATTTGGCTGTTGAATTTTATGTATACAGGTTATACAAGGGGCTTGCTCCTCTCTGGGGACGACAGATACCATGTAAGTTTACGTATCTTCTTTTCTCCAATTTATTTGGAAGAACTCAAGCTTTATACACACACACACACTCAAAGCTGAATCAACCACTACTTAATTTGAGTTTTACTGATTCACTCTTTCTTTCCCCTTTCGCTGTTGTGAACATTTTATTTAGCTATTTTAAGTTCATACTTTGCATAGAATGTTCAGACATACCAACTTTAACAATCACGCTCTATGATACACCAAGTGAATAAGAAAAATTACTGCTATTCTTCTCGTCAATTATAGCATTACATTCCGTTTATTACAATAAGCGTTATAATCTAACATCCAACACTGTTAATGCCTATTTCGTTAGCATCCGCATATTGCTTCTTTAGTCAATTTTTGAAGTGTTACACTTTCTTGCAAGCTTGGATTTTAAAACTTTGTTTGCTCTAGGAAGAGATTACATCATTTGTCTAATATCCTGTTTCTATCGCAATTATATAATCTTTGCCCTAGACATTCTACCTCACATGGAATTATTGTACAGACACGATGATGAAGTTTGCATCATTTGAAACCATTGTGGAACAACTATACAAACATGTCATCCCAACATCAAAAGAGCAGTGCAGTAAATCTACGCAGCTTGGTGTGAGCTTTGCTGGTGGATATTTAGCTGGTATTCTTTGTGCTATTGTGTCACACCCTGCTGATAACCTGGTTTCTTTCCTCAACAATGCTAAGGGGGCAACTGTCGGCGATGTGAGTAGACAGATTAATAAATTGGTTGCATCCTTTAAAGTTATTTGTTCATATTTAACTATATTATATTGTGCATTTTTGCAGGCTGTGAACAAGCTAGGCGTAATGGGTCTTTGTACTCGCGGTCTTCCTCTTCGTATAGTCATGATTGGTACACTCACTGGAGCACAATGGGGCATCTATGACTCTTTCAAAGTTTTTGTTGGCCTGTGAGTTTCTCCTTCCTTTCTTTTCTTTTCTTTTCAGTTCAGTTGTCTAATGTTATGTTTGTTTGATTTGACGAAAGTCAAGAAAATGACGTTCTCCATTTATGGGCAAGTCATTTTCTTATGACTATCTTAATTTATAATTTCATATCTTCAACTAACACTTATCCATTATCACTAATCTTTAGTACTCAAGAATTTCATCAAAGTACTCCCTGATTTGCTAATATCATTATTGACATCTAACATATATTCTTTTTTGTTTCAAATTATATTTTTTATTCACCAACCAAACTTTTGAAATCATTTTCTATGAAAATATCTTTCATGGACAATAACTTTCGTCATACCAAACACACTTCATATTTTTTCAAAATCATCCACCGCGCTCCTCCAACTTCTGTATTTACTAGCTTATTCCTTTCTAATATGAGAAAATTTCCCTACCATAATCAGATAAAAGAATATCTTATGACTAGTTATAATTAATTTCTTGAAATGATGTTGCCACCCATTGCTCTTGCAGGCCAACGACCGGTGGTGCAGCCTCACCTGCCCCTGCCAAGTGAAGAGGAAAATGTGAAATAATTAATGATGAAAAATCTTCTCCAGTACTCAATATCTCTTTCATTTACTGGCAGAGGGAAAATGGAAATGTTTTTCCATCTAAAAGTTTGTTTGAACAGTGTAGGAAAGTTTTTGCATTAATTCAAGCTTTGCAGTAAGATCTGATATTTTGTTGGGAGGATGAATTATCCTCAAGATGGCTGGTTACTGAAGAAGCATTTTCTAATGATAATTTTTGATTTTACAATAATGTGTTAATTCCTTGTTTTCACATGATAATCATGATAATTCTTGAAAGAATGCTAAACTTCTGCTATCAGTAATATCCACAACCACAAGCGACACCTCCAGAAAGTTGCATATTTGACAACCTGTGAAGTGTCAAGTGTGAACTACAAATCCCAGAGAAACCATTAAGTAAAATATGGGAAAACTTTGCGCTATATTATATGGAACGGGACAATGATGGGCGTTTTGCATGGTTTATTCGGACGATTTGCACCAGTAGCCGCTTCTAAGGCTAAATTTTCAGAAACCACTATCGTTTATTGACTATTAACTTCCTATAGTGTAGCGATCCGATTGGTCATTTTGAGCATTTGCACTTCGCTCGGCAGTTTGAGAGCACGAGTATCTTCACATGATGTATTATTACTTGTGTGAATCGTCGGTTTTGATTTTCAAGTTACTCGGAATCGATTTGGAAGAATGAACTTCAGGATTGAAGCTTTAAGTTGGAAGAGTTGACCAAGTTTGACTTTTTAGCATTTGACCTCGGATTGGAGTTTTGATGATTCCGTTAAGCCCGGATGGTGATTTTGGACTCGGGCGTATGCCCGGATTTGCATTTGGATATTTTTAGAAGGATTCGGCACTAATTGGCGAAAGTTGGAAATGAGAAGGTTTGGAAAGTTCATAAGTTTGACCGGAAGTTAACTTTAAGGCTATCGGGTTTAGATTTTGGTTTTGGAACTTGGAATATGTCCGTTTCATCATATAAAACTTGCCTGCAAAATTTGGCGTCATTTGGGGTTGATTTGATATGGATCAGACGCTTGGTTGCGATTCTAGAAGTTCTTGAAGTTTGTTGTGATCCTCATGCGTTTCGGTGTCTGATGCGTGCTTTTAGAGGTTATTTTGATGTTTTGATCGCGCGAGCGAGTTCGTGTTGTATTTATGGATTTGTGTGGGTGTTTGGTTTGGAGCCTCGGGGACTCAGGTGAGTTTCAGATTGGTTTCAGAATAATTTTTTATGATTTTTGAGTGCTGGTACTGGTTTCATCGCATTTGCGATATTTTTCTCGCAAATGCGACTATCGCAATTGCAAAGTGGCCCTCGCATTTGCGAAAGTGGGCTGTTGGGGAAAAATTCGCATTTGCGAAGAAATCCCTCGCATTTGCAAAGTGTGGCTGTTCGCTTTTGCGAGGATCCCTGCCGCTTTTGCGAGCAACTATCTTCGCATTTGCGAAGAATTGGGTCGCAAATGCGACCTTAGCAGAAATTCTCCTAGTTCGCTTTTGCGATGAATTATTCAGTTTTGCGGGGTTCGCTTTCGCAAATGCGACATTTGCAGCCTGCATATAGCTGGGTAATTCCGAGACTTAGCTTCATTTTGTTATATTTTGAACCCTAGCCTCGATGGGAGGCGGTTTTGTGGAGGGATTTTCATACCAAACTATTGGGTAAGCATCTCTAATCGATTTTCAATTATATTTTATGATTATACATTAGATTTAACATCAAATTCATGAGAATCCAGGGAAAAATTTGGGGATTTTGTCTAGGTTTTAAAAAAAATAAAAATTTGGGATTTGAAAGTCGAATAGGACCCGAATTTGGAAACAAAACACGTATATAGACTGGTGGGGCTATGGGTGGTCAAGATCAACCCTTGGACTCGGGTTTGTACCGGGCGGGCCCAGGGTTGACTTTTTGGAAATTGTATAAAGGTCATAGTTTTATTAATTGAAATTGTTTTCTCTTGCATTGTGTGATGTATTTAAGTCGTCTTTGGCTGGATTGGGCCGGGCGGAGGCGAATTTGTAAAGGAAGAAGCTAAATTAAGTATTTAGTTGACCGAATTGAGGTAAGTGTCTTGCCTAACCTTGTTGAGAAAATTTTTCCTACTATTTGACATTATTGGCTACATGCGGGGGTGATACATATATGAGGTGACGAGCGTATATGCATGTGCCAGGGTTAATCATGCTCGGGGGTAAATTATGCTATAAATTGTGCCTTGTAGAATTACGCGACCTTCTTGCTTCATGTCTTATTTGACTTCTAGATACTAAGAATATGGAATTAAATGTTAGAAACCAAGATTTAGTTTATTATAACTTGATTAAAATTTGACGGAATATTGAGAAATATTGATGTGTCTAATTCGGTCATCATTATGCTTAATCACTAATACATTGCTACGATCGTTACTCTTGAGATATTAGATTCTATACTTGAGTTGTAGATCATTTTAAGAATTGTTGAAATACTTGAACAATAAGGTTCCTGAGGGTTATTGAATTATTGTCGGCTTGAAGGTTGTGATTGAGATTCATTTGGAACATTCATTTAACCACTCCCCTTGNTCACGTGAGGGATGAGTGTAAAGCACGAATGGTGATGCCGTGCCATTGTATATATATATTATCATGTGAGGGAGAGTGTAAAGCATGAAGGGTGATGCCGTGCCTTTTCATATATTTTATCATGTGAAGGAAAGTGTAAAGCACGAAGGGTGATGCCGTGCCATTTCATTTGAGTGTAAAGCATGAAGGGTGATGCCGTGCCATTTCATTTGAGAGTAAAAGCACGAAGGGTGATGCCGTGCCATTTCATTTATATTATCATGCTTTTATATTATCACGAGTTCATGGCACGATGGGTGTTTCTGTGCAGTCGAGGACGAGAGACATGCATTATGTTGTGATATCCTTTCCTTATGTATACATTCATGCCTTTAAATTGAGTTGTCATTGTCATACCTATGTTTCCTATGTGACTTGTCGTTATTGTCCTGTCTTTTGTTCTCTATCTCAATTGTTGTGTTGCACCAGGGGTGGCAAAATGGTTAAAAGAACACAGTTAACCACCCATATTATCTACTAAAAAATGGGTTGGATAATGAACTTTTTAAAAATGGGTCAAATATGGATAGAAACAATATTATCCATTTAGAAAATGGATAATCAATGGGTAACCAATGGATAACTAATGAGTTTAACTTTTACATTTGTAAAGTCTCAAATTGGGGGTTTCTCAAATTTGGGAGACTAAGAATTCTCCTAAAAGTGTTCATATTCAAGAAGTCATGGATAATATGGTTACCCATATTATCCGTCGGTTAACCCATTTTTTATCCGTATTAAATAAGGGTCGGGTCGGATAATTTATCTATTTTTTCATTACCCATTTTCGACCCGAACCATATCCAACCCGGCCCTCCCGTTTTCCACTCCTATGTTGCACATGCCTTCTACTTGCTTAACTTGCAAATATCATGCCTACATCCTGCTGTTATATTTACATCCATGTCGTAACTATTTTGTTGCACTTTAGTACAAAACTTATACCATGTTTGTCATCCATGCCTTTACTTGTTAGCTTATAAATATCAAGCTCTTTCTTCTTGTTTGTTATATTTACATCTAAGCCTTCCACCATGTTAGTTAGTGAAATTTATGTTCTTCCACCATACTTGATGTCATTACTTTTGTGCCCTCTATCTCATCTATTTCTATTTTCTATATGTTTCCGACTTGTTATTTGTTACTACCTGGGTACTCTCTACTTAGTGGACATTAATATTGTAAATTATTCTACTTGGTTGGTACTGCTACATGCACATTTGGCAAGGATGAGATAAATGCACGAAGGGTGTTGCTGTGCTAATTGATTTGACACATATTTATATATATGGTGAGGAAGAGATAAAAGAACGAAGAGTGTTACTGCGCCATTTGATTTGATATCTTGAATATACTTCTCACACTAGGAAAATTATGAATTTACTACTGAGATTTCTCCTAGTAATCGTTTACTGCCTCGCATAGTTATTTATGGTACCCTTATCTGTTATGTTCTATAACTATTTCTACTATTAGTCTACTTGTCACGCCCCGACTTCAGGGAGCGCGATCGGCGCTCAACCGAGATAACCTGGCCGAGCAAGCCTACTAGATTTTCTTCTACCCAACTCACCCATAAATAAAGAGAATATAAACTTCATTGATTAATTCCACAAGGGTTCATGAACAACACCATCTCCTTTAGATACTTCATTTATAAGTCTCCAAAACAATACATTTCACAACCATAGTTTTACAGTGGAAGCATGAGATACGATTACGACATTATTAGTTTAACTTTTCCACACTAATACATATCCCACACTATGTCTACGGAGCCTCTAATAGATATAAAAGAGTACGATAATAGTGCCGGCAACAAGGCTCCGACAATACCTCAAAATATAATACACACGAAACAAAAGATGCACAACCTCGGAAAGAAGTGGGGCTTACCAAGTCAGCTGAGAGAAGAGTGTACCACTATCACTGGTCAATGCCTTCCACTGTGGAACCACCTGCATCCATTAGAGATGCAGCGCCCCCGGAAAAAAAGGACGTTAGTACATGTCGAATAGTACTAGTATGAAAACCAAATACCTATTCAAGGACTTGGAAATACAATATGAATTATGATGAATTATGGTAACAATAAAAGGGCTTAACTAGCCATTAAATACACAACAAATGTATTAATAGCTTTCAATAATATTTATAAATTTCAAGTCGGGGATCCTCTATAACTTTCTTTACACAGAGCGGCCCTGCCGCTTCACCCCAATGTATGCGGGTGGAGGTGCAATCACAATACCAGGAACTTTACACAAAGCGGTCCTGCCGCCTCACCCCAATGTATACGAGTGAAGGTGTACTCACTGTCACGCCCCAAACTTAGGGAGCGCGACCGACGCTCAACCGAGTAAACCCAGTCGAGCAAGCCTAATTTACAGTGTTTACTTAGACAATACAAATGCACCTATTCAAGGGCTTGGAATACAACATGAATATGATGAATCATGGTAACAATAAAAGGGCTTAGATAGACATCAACGTCGAGCCAATTTACTAAGAGCTTCCATTAATCATTTAT